GCCATTCTTTTTTCTGAAAGATGAGGACAGTAAGAGATTAAGAATGTGTTCTCCTAAAAAAAGAAGAAAAAAAATGTGTCCTTCTGATCCTACTAAAACATTCTGTATTTAATTCCACTACTGCTCTTTTTTTTTTTTTTTTTTTTTTTTAAGATTTATTTATTTTGGGCCCGGCGCGGTGGCGCAAGTGGTTAAGGTCCTCGCCTTGCACGCCCGGGATCCCATATGGGCGCGGGTTCTATCCCGGTGGCCCCACTTCCCTTCCAGCTCCCTGCCTGTGGCCCGGGAAAGCAGTCAAGGACAGCACAAAGCTTTGGGACCCTGCACCCGCGTGGGAGACCCGGAAGAGGCTCCTGGCTTCAGATCAACATAGCATCGGCTGTTGTGCTCACTTGGGGAGTGAATCATCGGATGGAAGATCTTCCTCTCTGTCTCTCCTCTCTGTATATCCGCCTTTCCAATAAAAAATAAATGAATAAATAAAAAAGATTTATTTATTTTTATTGGAAAGTCAGGTCTACACAGTAAAGGAGAGACGGAAAGGTCTTTCAACTGCTCGTTCATTCCCCAAGTGACCACAATGGCAGGAGCTGAGCCAATCCGAAGCCAGGAGCCTCTTCTAGGTCTCCCACGTGGGTGCAGGGTCCCAAGGCTTTAGGCCGTCCTCGACTGCTTTCCCAGGCCACGAGCAGGGAGCTGGGTGGGAAGTGGAGCAGCTGGGATATGAACCAGTGTCCATATGGAATCCCAGTGTTTTTAAGGCAAGGACTTTAGCCACTAGGCTACTGTGCCAAGCCCAGCGCTGACTCTTAAGAGAACATGCTGCATAAATTGTTTCTTTCATAAGTGATAAAGCTTCCTTTTGTACTGCTAGGAAAGCTCGGGGCAGACACTTTTATTCCTTTTCTGGGATTGGTTGGGCAAGTCAGGGACTTTTCCCTTTCATTCCCGTTGGGGCCGTGGTTTCCAGACCTGAGACCCATCCGTAACCTTCCTTTGTCTTTGTGGAGGGAGAGTCCTGGTTTCTGAGTCTTGGAATAGCCACACTCCCGGAGCCTCTCCCATAGGAGTCTCTGGAGAGGCGGTAAGAGACCCAGGCACGGCACTCCCCAGGTCAGAAGCAGCATCCTCTCTCTTAGCAGGGTCATCGTATCCTTTGCGTCTCTAGAAAACCTTCGTGTTGCTGCATGGCCAGGTGCTGCTGGGGTTTCAGCTGTGGCAGCAGATTAGGCCAGTGTCTTAGGGAGCAGTAGAGTGTTAACTACACACCGCCCTTCTGTAACTGGTGGCTCTCAACTGTCATTGGCTGAGTGGCAGGAGCAATGCTTTTCCCCAAGATGTGAAAGCGTAACCAACGCAGATCAGTCATTTCTTGGTCAGCACACACAGCCTGGAGGCTTCCCTGCACTTGACTTCCTGAGGCGGCTGGGGGCCTTTGGGAAACCAGGGAGTTTTCCTACGGGCACTCTCTCCTGGCAGAGACCATGGAGCAGCGGAGCCTGTTTTCAGTGTCTTTCCCCAAGTTCATTTCCCCTTCTCTTTTCTCCATACCCTTGTCTCTGTCCCTGCCCAACCAGCTTGTCACTTTGAATAGCCTCTGAGTTCAGCCTTGCCACCACCACCAGCAGAATTACAGCTGAAGTTCAGGCCTCTGGTCTCTCCTTACGCTCCAAGAACACCTTTTGTCCCAGTTTGAAGGAACTCTCCTAGGGTAGTCACGTGGCACTGCCTCTTGCTAGGAACAGGTTGATTTCTCCTTTCATAGGTTTTGCTTCTCAATCTCTGGGGAGAGTGGCTGCATTAGGATGGGCTTGGGACTTGGGACCACACAGGCACTCATCTGGATCCTCTACTTGAATTTTCTGACATGATGTGACCTTAGAGGGGCTGCTAAAGCTCACTGAGCTGGCATCGGGAAAATGATGGTGTGAGCAGAATGGCGCTACAGCCATCCCTTTTTCCATCCTTGAGTGTGCTTGAGGCTCAGGGGGATCCTGGTGTGTTGTAGGGTTTTCAGTCCAAGTCTGCATTGCTGGAAAGCTCCCCAAGTGACTTGAATGTCCAGCTTTGCTTGAGCACCGATGATTTTAATATATATATTTGTTTCCATTTTATTGAAAAGCAGATCTTCCTTTTAGCAGGTCCCAAATACACGCCACAAAGGTAGCAGCCTGATCTTAGTCTGGGTCTCCCACGTTGGTGCCGGTGACCCGTGTATTTGAGTTGTCACGTACTACCTGCCATGATGAACATAACAGGAAGCTGGAATCAGGAGACCTGAGACATGAACTTAGGGTCTCTGATGTGAGTTGGGGGCATCCCAAGTGGCATTTTTCTTTTAAATTTACTTTATTATTTTTATTGGAAAGGCAGATTTAAAAAGAGAAAAAAAGACAAACAGATCACTGGTTCTCTCCCCAAATGGCCACAGCAGTCGTAGATGAGTTGATCCAAAGCCAGGAGTCAGAAGCTTCTTCTAGGTCTCCTATATAGGTACAGGGTCCCAAGGTTTTGGACCATTTTTTGCTGGTTTCCCAGGCTGTAAGCAGGGAGCTGGATGACAAGTGGAGCATCTGACACCAAACTGGTGCCCACATGGTATTCTGGTGCTTGTAGGTAGAGGATTAGCCAGTTGAGCCATCAGATTTGCCCACCAAATAGCTTCTTAACACTGCACCAAAGGCCCAACCCCAAGAGCAAGTGTCATGTTAGCAGATGGCAGGAAGTGAATGCTGAGGAAAATGCAAGGACTCAGGGTCCAGTGGACAAGTGTGTTCCAGGCTTGGATACCAGCCCAGGCTTCAGGTCCCTGAAGACACCAGTACCAGGTCGTCATCTTCTGTCCTCAAGTGGAGGCTTCCTGCATGTGGTTCCTCTGTTGTCTCATGCTGCCCTCACACCCCCACTGGGTTCCCCAGGTGCTCAGACCCTGCAGGGACTTTGGGTTGATCAGTCAGTAGGCGAAATATTGGGACAAAGAGCCCAGACCTCTTGTGGATATGACAGCCCCTGAAACTGAGACTGCCTGTGGGACACCCCAAGGATTCCAGTTGGTTCCTCAAATGCTGGTTGAGTGCTTGCTATGCACGCAGCTCTGTGCTATCCTAGGACCCTGGGGTGTGAGTCAGGTGTGATTCTTGCCTGGGCTAAAGGCCCTGGCAGAGGAGTCAGGATGTGACTCAAGAACAAGCAATGGGAGCATGTCCTGGTGAGCAGGCAGTCTGGAAAGCAGCTTCTGGGAATCTCGGGGAGTTTCCCAAGGCACTGCAGCTGTGTCTCACAAGGTAAGTGGCACTTTTCCAGGTGGGAGTGGAGGGGAGCAGGAGCGCAGGCTTACACGCTGCGTGGTACATTGCACAGCAGGGAGTTCTTTCGGCAAAGCTGGAGCTCAGACTGTGGGTACCAGGTACGCAGTGAGTCCCTGCCCTGTAGCTGCTGCAGACCTGGTGTTTCCTTCTGAAAGGAATCCACTAAGGAACAGAACCTGAGTAGCCCCGTTCATGCCTGTGTGATTGGCAGCTTTCCCCGGGTTCCATATGACAGATGGGTGGAAGGGGAAACTGAGGCAAGTGGGAGCCTTCGGCAGTAGTCCAGGTGGGTCATGAGGAGTATGGTAGAGTCAGCAGGTGCCAGAGCCCCTCCAGGAAGCATGTGTGACGATGGCATTGTGTAACTGGCCAGGCCTGGGGGCTAGAAGGAGGGACATGAGCCACCAGGATACAGGATGTAGGGACTGCTCACCAACAGGATCAAGCAGAAATTAGGTGTATTGAGCTGCCACATGGTGATGGGGTCAATGCTGAGATACCAGAGCAGGAGGGCACGTGGCTCTCTAGGGTCCCTTCCTCTCTCCCTGGTCTCTGAAACTGGCTTGTGCCTCTGTCTCATCTTTGCTCCGGGAACTCCTGTCCTTCTCTGTCCCCATGGCTCCCACCAGTGGCTCCCTGCAACCCTCCCCCTGCCACCACCCACCCACCCACAAAAGCGCTCTGTCAGGTCAGCTGATTCTGTAGGGAAGAATTCCAGTTAGAGTGTGGCCAGTTTCTTCAGGTGTCTTGAGGGGATTTCAGCCTTTTGGGAGTCCTGGGACAGAAGCACAGCCTGACCACGTGCTGTGGGGCAGTCGCCTTTTGCTGGTGGCAATGCAGTTGCATCCACTGGAGTCCCAGTGCACACAGACCATCTCAGTCCAGCCTGGGATTTAAGAAACACCCTACGAGGATCTGTGTCAAGCACTTAGTGACTTCCACATGACACAGGGCTCACCAAGAGAGAAGGGGCACTGGGCTAAATCTCCCTCCCCACTGCATGACCTGCCTTTGTTGCGTGCTAAGCAGAATGGTTCTTCTCATTGGGAGGGGAGGGATAGAAATGATGCTGATAGGAACTAAGTTCAGCGCCTTGCATAAAGTTGGCCCTCTGCAAATGTTTGTTGGCCTTTCTGGAGCGTGGGCCATGTTGTCCCTGTTCCTCAAAGGCCAGAACACAAGGGAGAAGCCCCCTCCAATGGAGCCCCATCTTTCTAGCTGTCCCCAAAGCTCCTCTGCTGCAGGGCCCTAGCTGGCCCCTCATTGCTGCGGAGACTTCTCCCCTTGGGCTTATCATCTGCTCCAAGGCCAACTGAGAATGAGAGTCTTCCCTGCTGCCTGGGTGGAGTCAGGAGCCAGTGGGCTGTCCAGCCTCTGCAGTGCCCACCTTCTCCCTGCTGACTGGCCGCTGGGACCCAGAGAGCTGCCAGGGTTAGGTCGAGAACTGTGTCCCTCTGCATCCAAAGTAGACAAGTCAGGAGCCCCGTATCCCCTGTGGGGTTTCCTCTCAGCCCCCCTAAAGGCCCAGCTGACAATAGGAGCCTTGTATTGGACCCAAGAGGCCAGAGGGGAAGCCACCATCCTCACTTAGGGCCACAGAGCAGGGAAGCAAAATCTCTCAAGCTGTGGATGTGTGTGTGGGGTGGTGCTGGCCCTCTGCAAAGCCGTCTCGGAACCCCACTCTGTCCCCAGGCCATGGAGAGCAAGCTGCTGATCGGGGGAAGGAACATCATGGATCACACCAACGAGCAGCAGAAGATGCTGGAACTCAAGAGGCAGGAGATTGCTGAGCAGGTAGGGCTGCCATGAAAGCATGGCGGGGGTGCTGTAGGGTAGGAAGCCATCACAGACTTGGGGGCCCTTTACCAAGTGCTGAGGAACTTAGCTGTGCCTCTCTGGATCCCATGGGGGCACTGCACTCCATGATGCCAGCCTGCACAAAGCACCTGAACTGGTCCCAGGGCCTTCCACTAAGGTGTGCCTCATTTGCAAACTGTAAGACTCTTTGGTAAATCAAGAACCAATTCACTGGCTGCCCATCAATCATGACACTATGTAGGGAGGGAGTGGGCATCTGCCCGTGTGCCTGACACCCCTCGGGGCTTGGGCCTCCATCAGCACAAGGCAGTGCCCCTCAAAACCATGGCTATCACAGCGGAGAGGAGGGCTCCAAGAAACTCCACTAAAGAGTGAATAGGAGGTGCTTGCTTCGGCAGCACATATACTAAAATTGGAACGATGCAGAGAAGATTAGCACTGCCTCTGCACAAGGATGACATGCAAATTCGTGAAGTGTTCCATATTTAAAAAAATAAAAAGATTGAATGGGTGTAGTGGACATGGGCATGGAGTACTCCTTGCTCTCTCCCACCACCTGATATCATGTCATATGATAGGAAGTACTAGCTGGTCCCGGGGACCCCCTCAACCCTTCACCCGTCTAGGCCGCCCCTGTTGCAGCCCCCTGCCCTGCCTTGGCCTAGAAACGCCGTGAGCGGGAAATGCAGCAGGAGATGCTGCTCCGAGACGAGGAGACCATGGAGCTCCGTGGCACCTACACGTCCCTGCAGCAGGAGGTGGAGGTCAAGACCAAGAAGCTCAAGAAGGTGAGAGACCAGCAGGGCATGGTCAGGGTAGCCAAGGCCAAGGGCCTCCTCCCCAGTCAGCTCAAGCTGTCAAGCCCGAGTCACGTGGCCTGTGCCACTGGTGAGTCTGTGTGGCCAGGAATGGAGCCTTTCCTCTTGGACTGGTGGGCTCAGAGGCTGTGAGCTGCCACGTCCAGCCCCCACGGTTACTGCCCTCGCAGGCCTGCATCTCCCCACTTTCAGCATCAGCAGTGAGTTAGTTGGGGACGCTGGGCCTGGAGTAGAACCAGGGAGTGGGAGCGACCCTGAATGTGAGGGAGAGCTGTACATGCCACTTGTGCCTCAGGGCCCCTGTGACAGGCCATGGGTAGACTGTCAGCTCACCAGGACCCTGCCCAGGGATGGGAGGTGGAGGGCTGGGGCAGGAAGCGACAGTTCCAGTTTAGATTGCAGGATGAACCCAGGGAGCCCTCAGGGTACTGATGTGGATGTCTCGCACAGGGCAGATTGGGTTAGGCAGGGGTCAGGAGAGTGCTACCTGCCATGCCCCTACCCTTCAGAGTGCCTCAAGAGGCCAGATTTCCCTCCCCGGCCCACTCAGGAACCTTCTGACCTTGAGCTCTGATCTCCAAAGGAGCCCCTGGCCCTGGTCTGGGCTCTTTGGACAAGTTAATATGACCTGAATATCCCGTGTCATGGATGGCAGTTGAACAGGACAGCCCTCTAAGTAGCCCCACCTGATTCGCAGTGCGCAGAGCAGAAGCAGGCAGCAGGCTGAGCATGGGGGCCATGGCCTTTGGCCCTTGGCGCCTCCCTGTCATGCTAGGTAGCCTCTGAGCCGCGTCTGTCCCCTCGCAGCTCTACGCCAAGCTGCAGGCGGTGAAAGCAGAGATCCAGGACCAACATGACGAGTACATCCGCGTGCGGCAGGACCTGGAGGAGGCGCAGAATGAGCAGACCCGGGAACTCAAGCTCAAGTAGGTCCCCTGCCCCTCCCCCACTGCCCTGGGTTCCCTGGTGGACTCCTCTCCTTCCCAAAGACCCCCTTCAGGACCTCTGCAGCTTTCCTCCCCTAAAGTCTGCATCTGATGTGGTGGTCTTATTTTTTTATATATTTTTAAAAAGATTTATTTATTTTTATTACAAAGTCAGATATACAGAGAGGAGGCGAGACAGAGAGGAAGATCTTCTGTCCGATGATTCACTCCCCAAGTGACCTCAACGGCCGGTGCTGCGCCCATCCAAAGCCGGGAACTGGGAGCCTCTTCCGGGTCTCCCACGCAGGTGCAGAGTACCAAAGCTTTGGGCCGTCCTCGACTGCTTTCCCGGGCCACAGGCAGGGAGCCGGATGGGAAGTAGAGCAGCCAAAATAGAACCGGCGCCCATATGGGATCCCGGGTGTGTTCAACGCGAGGACTTTAGCCACTCAGCCATGCCTCCGGGCCTGATGCGGTGGTTTTAAACGTTGCTTCTGTAGGGACCCGTTTCTCCCCATCAGCAACACACTGGGTTGTCTACCTTCCCCAACCCCCCTCCTGTCTCTTGGCTTGGTGCTCTGATCCTTCAGCCTTGGCAGGTGCCACACACGTGATCATACACTGCCCACCCCATCCCTGCCTCCATCCTGCTCACAGGTACCTGATCATCGAGAACTTCATCCCCCCCGAGGAGAAGAACAAGATCATGAACCGGCTTTTCCTGGACTGCGAGGAGGAGCAGTGGAAGTTCCAGCCGCTGGTCCCTGCTGGAGCGTGAGTTCCCACTCCAGTGCCTGCCTGGGATTTGCCACGCGCTCCGTGTGGGTCTCCAGAGGGGCCTGGGGCACAGCCCACAGGGAGACAAGCGTGGCGTGGCTGGGGCAGGATGGTGGGTTAATTGGGACCTGGTGTGTAGGGAGTCTCCATGCAGGAGAGGTGTTCTGTGACAAGAAATGGGACTCCCTTTCTTGGTGCAGAGGAAAATACTTGTGAGATACCAGAAGACAGCAACTGCAGTTCACACTGCTGACCCCTCTGTGAGTCAGGTGTGGCATGACATTCTACAGATGAGTAATCAGTTTATAGCAGATCATGGCATGACAGAGCTACCATCATCACACCCAGCCCAGCTCAGCCCTGCTGGGTGAGTCAGCAATTCCACCTGTTTCCACATCCTAGCCCTGCCAGGGCAGCTGCATCCATTGGCTGGGTGTGCAGTGCCCTCTGCTGGTGGCCTTGGATAGCAAGCCAAAAGGAGATGAAAGCCCAGGAGCCGGCTTGCCTGCCCTTCTTCAAGCAACTGCACCCATCAGTGGCTAGAGAGCAAGGCTCCTCTAGAAGATGTTTTGCCCTCTCAATCCTAGGAATGCTACTATTAAGCCAGGGCACAGGAATCCCTGAGGCTGTTCTAAGAACTTGTCAGAGTATTGGATGCTTACCTGATTGCTGAACGACTACTCCAAACCCCGATGACCCTGCACAAATATATAAAAGTCAAATCCACAAGAAGGGGATTCTCAGTGGTGTCGTCTGGGATTCACAACCCAGCTCCGTAACCGAAGCAGGGGCTCTCGGGGGAAACACCATGTGTCACAGAGCCGCTCTAGCTGGCCAAGGCCAGAGCTGACGGTGAATTGGGCTACGGAGAGCCCTGCTGAAGCTTGCTGGTGGGGCTCAGGGCTTACATGTGTAGCTTCCTCCCACTCGAGGCCTCCCGGTGCCTCTGCTGCCAAGCCAGGCTCGAAGCCTGCTGCTGCAGTGCCTTGTGGGGCAGGCGCTGGTGCGGTTTCTGCTCTGTGGGTTATTTCGTGCTTATACAGGTTTGCAGATGGAGAGGTTTCCTCACATTGATTGTAGTCCTACTGTCAACATGCTAAGTGACAGGCAAGGTGAGAGAGGCTTGGAAATAACATTTTTTAAGATTTATTAATTTATTTTTTTAGTTGGAAAGATACCTACCGAAAGAAGGAGAGAGAGAAGCCTTCTGTCCTCTGCTTCACTCCCACATGGCCGCAATGCCCAGAGCTGATCTGATCAGGAGCCAAGAGATTTTTCCAGGTTTCCTATGTGGGTACAGGTTCTCAAGGATTTGAGCCATCCTCTGCTGCTTTCCCAGGCCACAAGCAGAGAGCTGGATGGGAAGTGGAGCAGCCAGGGACACAAACCAGCTCCCATAAGGGATGTTGGCATTTGAAGGCAGAGGATCAGCCAATCGAGCCATCGCACCAGCCACAAGAGATGACATGTTTTTTAAAGGTTTATTTTTCTTACATGAAAGGCAAAATTTGAGCCCGGCTCAATGGCCTAGCAGTTGAAGTCCTCGCCTTGAATACGCTGGATCCCATATGGGTGCCGGTTCTACTGGCTTCCCATCCAGCTCCCTGTTTGTAGCCTGGGAAAGCAGTAGAGGATGGCCCAAAGCCTTGGGTTCCTGCACCCACATGGGAGACCAGGATGAAGCTCCAGGCTCCTTCCTTCGGATTGGCACAGCTCTGCCATTGTGGTCACTTGGGAAGTGAATCATTGTATGGGTGATCTTCCTCTCTGTCTCTCCTCCTCTCTGTATATCTGCTTTTGCAATAGAAAGGAAGGAAGGAAGGGAGGAAGGAAGGAAGGAAAGAGTAAGAAAAAGGAGAGAGAGCAAGAGACAGATAAACATCTTTATCCACATTCGCTCTCCAAATGGCCGTTATGCTTGGGCTGGGCAAGGCTGGAATCGGGAGCCAGGAGCTGCATCTCGGTCTCCTGTGTGGCAAGGGCCCGAGCTCTTATGCCAGCCTTTCACTGGTTTTCCCATGCACATTAGCAGGCAATAGGGTCGGAAGTGAAGAAGCCCGGATACTCACTGGTATCCACATGGATGCCAGCACCACAGGTGGTTGTCACAGCGTTGGCCCCAAATTGGGAATCATTTTTACTACCTTATATTGCTCTATCAGATAATTTGAAATTGATGTCCCTTTGCCTGCATTTCCTGAGTGAGGATGTTGAGTCACGTAACCACAGTACAATAATCTACTTCAGGAGATTTATTTGACTCAGTGCAAGATTACTTTTAATTTTTGTCCATTTCCATGTCCTTTGTGGTAATGCCTCTCTCCCTGAGGTGCCGCATTTTGTTGTCATGCTTCTTTTTTTTTTTTTTTTAAAGATTTATTTATTTTTATTGGGAAGTCAGATATACAGGGAGGAGGAGAGACAGAGAGGAAGATCTTCCATCTGATGATTCACTCCCAAAGTGAGCACAACGACCGATGCTATGTCGATCCGAAGCCAGGATCCAGGAACTTCTTCCAGGTCTCCCACGCGGATGCAGGGGTCCCAAGGCTTTGGGCCGTCCTCCACTGCTTTCCCAGGCCACAAGCAGGGAGCTGGATGGGAAGTGGAGCTGCCGGGATTAGAACTGGAGCCCATATGGGATCCCGGGGCGCGTTCAAGGCAAGGACTTTAGCCGCTAGGCCACGCCTCCGGGCCCAATTACATGGCTTTTTAAAGTTATGTTTAAGTATATTTATAACTTAAACTTGCTATTCTATGTAGAGTGTCTATACGCCTGCTCTGAAGATGGACAGAATACCTATATTTTGTATAGAAGAGACTTAAAATATCTCTGGGTAAGAGTAAAAGATTAAGTCAGTTATGACAGGTCATATTCTCCCCTGCATACAACTTAAATGAACAGTTACTACAAATTGCTCTAAAAAGAACTCCAAGAAAAATTTTTTTTAAGATTTATTTATTTTTATTTAAAATAATTGTACAGTGTGTGTGTCTTTCATCTGCTGGTTCACCCCCCAAATGGCTGCAATGGCTGGAGCTGGGCCAGTCCAAAGCTGGGAGTTAAGAACTTTTCCCAGATTTCCCGTGCAAGTGCAGGAGCTCAAACCCTTGGGTCATCCTCTGCTGCTTTCCCAGGCATATTACTAGGAACCTGAATTGGAAGTGGAGCAACTGGGTCTTGAGCCAGTGCCACTATAGGATGCTGGCTTCTCAGGCAGTAGCTTTACTCATTATGCCATAATGCTGGCCCCAGAAAGAAATTGTTTCAAAAACATCTGTTAAGAAAAAGCAAGCAATCCTGAGATTTTGTGCCCCCCCCCCTTTTTTTTTCTTGGTGGCTGTCCAGTTTGCAATGTCTGATGACTAAGATATTTAATGTTTATTTCAGAACTTCAAAAAAGTTCAATATAAACACAAGACAATAAAAATGGGCCATTCATTTTTTTATATGAAACAGGTTTTTCAAATTACTTTTTTCAAAAGCAGTGGTGATTGAGATGGAATAAAAACAATTTCATTGTCATTGAAATCCCAGTTGTGACTGTGACCCGGCAGAGGGGCCGGGCAGCCTACTGGAGCATCGCAGAGGTGGACATTCAGGCTGAGAGTCCCTGAACTCAGCAATGCTCATTCCAAGGAACCAGCTGCTCCCCTTTCCGGGAGTCCAGGCTCCCACCCTTGGCCATGTAACTTAATCAGGGCTGGGAGACAAGCTACAAAAAAGGTCTTTCTTTCCGAAGCATATTTAATTAATCAGGGCATTGTTTCATCCCGACTGCACTCAGGGTGGGAGACGCTGTTTCCCTGTGGCCTAGTGGTGTTCTAGGGGCGAGGACGCTGCTCCAAGTGAGAAGAAAGCTCATTGTTTGAGAAAAATTACCTAAGGTCACGCTGGCCCTCTAGAGAACTTTTGGTGGAAAAACATCTTGCCACCTCCCACTCAAGCAGCTTCTCCCCACTCCTTCCCTTTGCCCCCCACATTCTTTCCCTAGCTTAGCTCTGGAGCAGGGGGTCGTTGCCAGGCAGGCCTGATTCCTTGCACACTCGCTTCTCCACCACCCCTGTGCAGCCACGGTGGGGCCAGAGGAATGCCGGGTGATTGCCTTCCCCAGTCACCAAGAATCCTGTGTTTGCGTTGCCTTGATGAAAACATTCTTGCAGCCAGCTCTAACAGTCACTGCTTTACAATATGACCTTGTCCCCAGACTGTCTCATTGTCATTGTGTTTCTATAAAACTGGCTGATAAGAGGAGGATGTTTGACCCTGACCTTAGCCCAGGCTCCAGGATTCTGTTATGACTTGAACCCTTTGGCTTCTTGCAACTCCAGGCACCTGCCCTTCTCAGTCTCGTCAGTAGGAAGAGATTGGCCTTTGGCATTTAGATCCTGCTCAGTTCTAGTCCCTGCTCTGCCACTTGCTTGTGGCCTTGAGAAAGTATTTTTAACCTGTCTGAACCCAGGATGCTTTGCTTTGTGAAGTGGGGATGGTGGTGTGTATCTTCCGGGGTTCTCAAGGTTAAAATGAAATGATGTAAGCTTCCAGAGCTGCACCTGTCCTAGAGGAAGAATCCCTTCCACTACAGACAAGAAGTTAACGCTGGCTTCCTCACCCAGGAACGTCCTTAAGCTCTGCCTTGAGACCTGGAAATGCCTGCAATGTCTAGGGCTAGGGTAGGCAGAAATCAGATCCAGAAACTCAGGCCTAGATTTCCCTTGCAGGAAACCAACTAATTGGGCCATTACTGCCATTACTGCCAAGCGCACCTGAACCTGAACCTGAGAGAAGGTGCACCCTTCACAGGCAGGGGTGGGACAGCTGAAGGAGACGGGAATGGAGTGAGACCGCTGATGTGTGGGCTCGGAGACCAGGTGCGGAGACCCAGAAGTACACCCCCAGCAGTGACGAGTGCTGTTTTCTCAACAGGAGAGGAAGGAGGGTGGTCAGGCCAGCCCAGCAATGAGGATGGTGTCAACCCCCACAGTGTGACTGGGAG